GCGTCCACCTCTGACACCTACACAGCCAAACGGTCGGATGGTGTACGTCAGACACAACCGGTTAGTTTGGCATGGCCCGGGAGCAAGCCCACTGAAATCACGTGTCCTCTACCTGCCCCCTGTCCTTTGGGTGTTCCCACCTTACCAAGCTGAAGTATCGCTATGCTGTGGGCCTCAGCCCCACTGTACAGTGAGGAGGAAGAGCTTAAGCAGAGGGCGGTCAGTGAACGGGGGTGAGACATCCGCCTCTTCAAGCAGCAGGCTAAGAAGTACTGGCTAGGAGAGTGGCTCGGTATCCGGTCTAGGAAGAGACAGAGGTCTGTCTCCTAGACCCCACACGCAAGCCTAGGGTGCTAGTAGTGAGGCGGAGGATATCCCTAATTGATAGATGATGAGGCTGATCTGCCACTTAGAGCAGCTCTCGTCTGTCGTCAGGCTATTTTTGTTTCTTCCGCATCATCAGTAGGAAGAGGCAGGGTGCCAGCTTTGGCAGCGTGCTAATCAGTCGGGTTGGGTTGCCCAAGGAGGTCAGCAAGGGTCGCAGCAGTTGTGTCAGTGTGAGGCAAGACGGCACGAGAGTGATGTAGCACCAGTCTTCCACTGCAGGCCTAACCACCACGGCCAGTAGTGGTGTGCCTGGTGTTGCACGGAGGAAGTAGCAAGTCAGCCGAGTGAGAGAGTAGCGGGGGCAAAGTTTCCTACTCGGCGGTGTGGCAAATTTTCCTTCGTTCAAGCCAGCTACCGAGGGGAAGTAAACGTATCCGTATGTCTATTATCGTCGGCCAGAAAGTCAATCGTTGTGCCATGGGTCCCCATGTTGGGATACAGTAGGACCCTTGCGTCAGCATTATGCAGCGTCGACCTATGGTAGGTGGCGAACGGGGGGGGAAACCGTGATAAAGCTACGGCGGTTCTGCCAGGCTGCCCCAGACCCCCGCTCAATCTCTCCGCTTCCGTTACTTGCTGTCCATCCGACGACTTCAATTCGCGCCTCTATCAGCCAGTAAAAGCTCCAACAACCTCTGCTGAGGGGAGTTTGTCGCTCGTCTCTGGCATCTTCCGCTCGTACTCTAAACTCAAATGCTCCTCCTTCTCCTCGCTTACTCTCTCACTACCGCTTCATGGATTCACGTCATGCAGTCTTTCTGTGAATCCCGTTTCCAAGAGACAACAGTTTTGTCGAGCACGCAACGCACGCCAGACTGGTGCAGAAGCTGCAACATCCTCCTGTCCAAGTTGCTGGTTGCTGCAAGTCCCCTCCCTTTCCCAAGTGAGGTGGAGCTCAAGCACCATTTCCGAGAAATTGATTAGCGCTTGTGCCATCGCCAGCTGTGGTAGAGTGCCGAAGCCGGCATTTCTTCTGCCAAAAATGCAAGTGCCATCCCTGCAATCACCATGTAGAAGAGATGGTGGTACCAGCCCCTTTGAGCAAGTCGGATCTCTGCCAACAGTAGCACTGGCCAGCGCGACGGTGTGAGGATCTGCTAGACTACTGTCCAGTGAGGACAGTACCATTCATTTTACTGCCCACTGGGGTTAGAAACGAAGGATCCATGCACAAGGCCGCACCAAGAGCAACTTTGGACAGGCATCACTTCCCGCCAACTGCCTTGCTCCACTGTTTGCGCGCGTCCTTGGTCCCAGAAAGAGTGGTCCGCCTCTACGCTGACCTCTGTCTTATCCGCCTGTGTCCTCAGTTCCACCCGCCAACCGGGGCCCTGTAGCCCAAGTCCCATTACCCGGATGCCGGCATATTTCACATGAGCAGTAGGCGCAAGCGAGAACTGTGTTCACTGCTGTGCAGGCACCTGAGTGATTGCCTTGGCTAACGTAGTTACACGAGCAGGGCGCAGGAAACTTCTGAGTGTATATGAACAGAGAAATCGACAGATAGGTGCTGAGTCGTCCGCGCAAGACTGTAAAATCGGAGAACCATGGTTTTGACTCGACAACGCGACTTAAAGAACATAGGTTGTCTGACTCTGCGTCGCAATGGAATGGTTGTGTGCCGATGCGCCATTCACAATGCTCACTGCTGTTGTCAATATTGATTGTCAAGGCCGTGTTCCTAAAAGATCCCACCATCCCACTGCCAAGAGACATCCCTAAAATAGTCACGTAAAACTTTGCATGCATTTCAGCCATTCCATACACCGCCCAAAGCACACACCCAGCCTTGAGCTGCAGCAGCAGGAACTGAATGTCCACCAGCAATCGCCTGCGATCTGCGACGATGCAACAAGGCTGGAATTCCAACCCTACATATGTTAGAAACCTACTTTACGTAATCAGCGAAAGAGCCATCAACACCTGATTTATTCCTGATGGTTACAATCGGATAAAGGTAACTACCCCACTGTGTAACTTAGATGGTTCAGCCATTGGGCGGAGCTCACGCATAGGCGTCGACACCGTGCCGCTTGCTCAGGGTGCCCTATGAGTTAGGCCACAGCTAATGCGTATTGAGTCGTCTCAGGACTATGTGTATGAACTGACGTTCATTCCTCCCTGTTGCACGTCCTTGGAACAAAAATGGCTTTTAACAATGAGGTTGTGGTCATGGTGCGGCATTTAGACTTTGGCGCCACCAGTATCTCAACGCCACATGTACCCCTGTTTGGGGGCAGGACAGGTAGGAAGATGGATGAGGTATATGAGGAACATTTGGTGCTCAGGAATTATTGAGTGAAATGGGTTGGAGTTTATTCCACTCAGCGGACAGCGAGTGGAGGTTAGGCATGGTAGCAACTCTGGTAGACGCAGGAGGGAGGGAGACAGAGGACCCAAGACCGCACCGTGTGGCAGTATGCTGTGGATATGGAGTGCAGGTGAGTCCCGTCGGTCATTATCTTGGCCACAAAACTGGCCCAATATCATGCTCGTAGAATAATTGCTTGCGTATCGAGCAGCCCGAAAAACAACATAATAAGCCATCAGACAGTATGGGTAATGACTTTTCTGAGGCTGTTCCACTCTTGTAGGGACCCTCGCTAACAGCCGTTCAAAAATGGTGTGCCTTTACGCACACCTGCTGAGAGTGGCAGAAGATTGTGAAAGGTCCAAAATAGAACGTACTCATAAAAACCTACCTAGTAGTAGTCAGTAGTTGTCTCTTGCCTTTCTGCGCCACAAACGTCCATCCTCAGAGCACTGTTGAGGGCCCATGTGCTCTCAGCGTTCCGGCTGCCATGACCAGTCAGGAGGGGTGGGGTGGTTAGGAGCAAGTGGCATCTCCACCACAGCGGCATTCAGCGCTTCAGCCTCAGTCTCGCAGTCGATGATCGATGAGTAGCTTTCTTACACCAGCAGCGTCAAGTGATGGCAACTCACTACCCAGCCAAAGCCGCAGAAGCACGCATCAGCATCATGGTGCGAAACCTTGGAGCTTGACCTCAAACACAACATGCCTTGTGCCTCCTTGGACAACGCACCCGTGCCAACCGATGTAGAACGAATACCCCATGACTACATACTGGTGGCGCGGACCGAAAACATTGACCTTTGGCCCCAACTAGCCGAATTTGCCCTTGAAAGGCCTGTCAATGCCCGGGCCAGGTAGCGTGGCATTCGGAGCAGCGTATGTTTACGTGTCGGCAGGGCAGGTATCGTTCAACTCCGCGCGCAGGAAAACACGACACGCACTTCCCCGACGCCAAAGTGTGAAGAGACTCACGTTTTGTGTGAAACAAGAATCAGGCGTGGATTAAGTACTGGTAATTCAAACCACCAGTTCCTAGACACAACTGACTAAATCCCCGCCATGAATCTCATGCGGCGGCAAACATGTATTATTTTTTAACATATGACTCTGTATGGCCTGTTCAATTCAGCTGCTTACGCTTCGCCAATCTGCTGTGGGCCCCTGTACACCTCCTCTTGCTGCTGCCAGTCCATAGTGTGCTGGCATGGTGCCCCGTACGGGCCTCCCATTGCTGCAATGGTCTCCCTCGCCACACTCTGCCATGTGCCACTTTCAGGTCTCACTCACTACTGCTGGTACCCGACTCCATTTTGTCATATGGGTGCTGCTATTACGGGCCTTCCCATTGCTCCATACCAGGCCTGTAAATCTGGTCATGCGGGCCCCCTGTACCGGCCTGTCCTCATGCTTCTGTGTCGCCGGATGGACCGAGGATTGTTGCTCCATGTGTCCCCTGTACGTACCCTCGCCCATGTGCTGGTCTGTCTGCCCATCGCCCGTAAAGCTCCATGGGCCGGGGGAAGTTGCCGTAACTGTTCAGGACCTCTCACAGGGGGCACTGCGTGCCAGGTTTCCATAATCTTGTCAGTAGGGCCCCTGGGCAGAATTAACCGCCTCCACATTGCTTAGCGTACCCAGGATCCAGTAGTGTGCCCATGGTGCCTGCCTGTTAACAATCGGACTCCTCATTGCTGGCGTCTCCATCGCCACTACTCTGCCATGTGCCACTTTCAGGTACTCCTCACTCACTCGCTGCTTGCGTCGAGGTTCCAGAGGTTGTCATAGAGTCCCTGTAACGTACCGCCTCCCATTGCTGCTGTCTGCCAGTCGCCCAACACTCTGCCATGTCCATTTCAGGTCTCCTCGCACTGCGTAGGTGCGTTACCGTTTTCCCTCATAGGGATGTCTGGCAGATTACGGGCTGCCCACGCCATTGCTGCTTGTCATGGGCCCTAATCTTTCATGGGGCCCTCCCCTACCTCGCCCTCCTCATGCGTGCTTGCACAGGGTCCAGGCAGGTGTCTCTGGGGCCCTGTACGACGGCCTTCAACCATTCAGCTGCTGTCTTCCATCGCCCCACACACTGCATGTGCCACTTTCAGGTCTCCTCTAACCACTGCTGGTGGGCTTATCCAACTTTTTGTCATAGGGTTGCTGGCTAATTACGGGGCCTCCCCATTTGCTGCTGCCATGCACTCCAGTAAAATCTGCCATGTGCCACCCGTAACCCAGACTCCTCATCTGCTGCAGACCCAGGCCCGTAATCTTTCCCATGGGCCCCTGTACCGCCGTCCTCATTTGCATGCTGCCGAGGTCCAGAGTGGTCGTCATGTGTCCCTGTACTTCGGCCTATCCATTGTCTGCTGTCCTCCGATCGTGCCAACACTCTGCCATGTCCCACTTTCAGGGCCTCCCTCAACACTGCTGGGTGGGTTTCCATTTTGTCCATATATGGGTGCTGGCAGATCTACGGGCCTCCCATTGCTGCTGCCCAGTGCCCGTAATCTGTCATGTGCCCCTGTACCCAGCCTCCTCATGGGCTGCTCGCGCAGGGTCCCAGAGTGTCCTCATGGGTCCCTAGTACGGCCCTTCCCATTGGCAGCTGTCTCCCTCCGCCACACTCTGCCATGTTCCACATGTCATGTCTCCTCACACAGTGCTGGTGTAGTTTCCCATTTTGTCATATGGAGCTGGCAGATTACGGGACCATCCCATTGCTGGCTGCCAGGTCCCATAATCTGCCCATGGTCCCCCCGTCACCGACTCTCCTGAATGCGCTTCTGCCAGGATTTCCAGAGTTGTACTCAATGGTCCCCCTTACCGGCCTCCGCATTGCTGCTGTCCTCCATCGCCACAACTTCTGCCATGTGCCACTTTCAGGTCTCCTCACAACTGCTGGTGGGTTCCATTTTGTCCATAGGGGGCTGGCATATTACTGGCCCTCCACATTTGCTGCTGGCCGAATGGCCCGTGAAACTTGCCATTGGGCCCCCGAACCGGGACTCCTCATTGCTGCAAGGTCCATGCCCCCGTAATCTTTCATTGGGGCCCCCTGGGGGAAACCGCCTCCTCATGCTGCTGCCAGTGTCCAGAGTGTTCTCATGAGGTCCCTGTACTGCCTCCCATTGCTGCTGTCTCCATCGCCACAAACTCTGCCGAGTTGTGTCCACTTTCAGTCTCCTCACACTGCTGGGTGGGTTCCATTTTGTCTTAGGGTGCTGGCAGATTACAGGGCCTCCCATTGCTGCTGGCGCCAGGCCCGTAATCTGCCATGGGCCCCCGTATCGATCTCCCATGCTGCTTGCCAGGGCCCGTAATCTGTCAGGGCCCCTTGTGTCATGCTGGCCCGGAGGGTCCGAGGAGTGTTACATGGGTGTACGGCCTCCCATTTCGCCTCCATCTCATTGCCATGTGCTGCCAGGTCCAGGGTGAGTGTGCCTCATGGGCCAGCCCCTGTACGGCCGCTCCCATTGCTGCTGTCCAGAGTGTCCATCCCAACACTCCCATGTGCTGCTGCCACTCGCACACTCCAAAGTTTCCTTTACAGGTCTCCTCACACTGCTGGTGGTTTCCATTTTGTCATAGGAGTGCTGTGCAGAATTACGGGCCTACCCCATTGCTGCTGCCAGGCCCGTAATCTGCCATGGGGGCCCCCGTACCGACTCCTCATGCTGCTGCCATGCCAGGCCCCTGTACCGCCTTTCCTCATTAATCTGTCATGGTTCCCTGGGCCCCTGTACCATGTGCCACTTTCAGGTCTCCTCATGCTGCTGGCCAGGTGTCCAGAGCCTCCCATTGCTGTCTCATGATCTGGTCCCCTGTTACGGCCATCCCATTGCTGCATTTGTCTCCAATCTGACCTGCCACATGTTCTTTCTGCCATGTGCCACTTTCAGGTTCTCCTCACACTGCAGGTGGGTTCCATTTTGTTCTGTCAGATACGGTCGTGCTCGTCCAGGTATTGCGAACCTCCCCATTGCTGCTGCCTCCACCGCCACCACTGTGGCTCCATCCACACTTCTCTGGTTTTGCAGGTTCTCCCCGTAATGTGACTGCCCATGAGTGATGCTGGAAGTGTGCGGTGAGCCCGTAATCTCTGGGCCCACCGTAAGATCGACGGCACTCATCTGCATGTCATACTGACTGACAGTATTATTTCTCTTCCCAGCAGACTCCAAGGGCATTTTAAATTAAAGGTACAGTGTTCTGCACTAATTATAAAGCTCTCTGAAGCCTAGGAAACACCCTTTTTATAAGTTAAATGGGTCCGCTTTACTGGCCTCACCATTGGCTGGCAGTTCGCAGCCATGTGCGAATATATTCGACTGCTGGTGGGTTCCAAATCGAATTTATTTGCTTCGCGAAATAATCTGCCCATGGCCCGAATCAGCCGAATCGAATTTTTGAAATACTAGGTCGCTCATGGGTTCTTCCCATTACTGCTTACCTTATGGTGCCACCATGCTGGTGGGTTCCATGTTTAAACAGCAAAAAAAAAATGTTGGTGTGCCGCTGAATACCTGTAGTCACAGATGACGCTTTTAACAAGTAAATTAAAGTACACGGTGTTTCTTCACATAAATAAAGGCTCTCTTAAGATATTTGGCACACTAAGAAGCCGAAAAAGACCACATGTATTATCTGATGCATACCTTATAGTTAAAGAAACACACAAGTAAAAATGTTCCTTATAGTCCAAAGGTGGTTAAGGGGATAATACCCAGTAACAGCCAATTCAAAGAGCTAGAAGAGACTTTGTGTGAATCATAAAAAGAAGAGACGCAACAATAAAAATAAATAATTTATTTTCACAAAGTTGGAAACTCACAGTAGTAGTCAAATGAGCGCTTGTGAAACTGTTGTCAACTGCTGTGTGACTTCGGTCAAGTCCTGCTGCATGTAGGTTTTCAATGCACTATCCTTGGCTGTGCTGGTGGCTCTCAGCACTTCCAGGTCAACATGGATCCACAGAAAAGGCAGGAGCAACATCAGCTCCAGGTACAGCAGCAGTAGTTGTGGTACATGTTTGGAGCATGTTCTGGTTCATCGGACCAGGGGTCATATATTGGCAAATGATAGTGACGTACTGTATCGCCCAGCCAACTCATGGATAGGACCAAGTGTCATCATAGGTTAGTACAAAAAATATATTAAAAAAAAAAAAATATCAAGCCTCTCTCTTTTAGACTCATTAAACTAAACACTCTTAAATTATAATAAATAAAGTACAGTAAACATATAAGGAGGATATTAAGGGAAAATCATGCAAGTTAGGAATATATCTCGCTATGCACTATGATAGAAAGACCATGTAACGGAACCGGACCCCGACTGCATTAGGGTATTTCCATTATACTCTTGCTTCCCTGTCCGAACACCATCCACAGACCACACCGCTGATCATACAGGAAATAGACAGCACCAGACTCTCTTAAGACAGGAAGTAGACTGCTTTATTTTAACACAAACACAAGCTATATACACAGGGCGGGGAAATACAACCAGGAACAGGAAACACAACAGCAGGCCCTCCCATCAGGGGGAAGGGCTGCTGGAAACACCCCCCACCAAACCAAGACACACAATAGAACAAAGGGATACACCACATGGCAGTAGACAATAGGGGAACACATGCATCCCATAATAGTTTGCTGGCAAGCAAGACACAATAGAACAATGGGGCAACCACATGGCAGTGAACAATGGACAACCCCCCACACCAATACACAATATCAGGACAGACCACCCTTAACAGGCACAGGGTGGGTTGCACATAAGAGGAACAACTTGGGTGCCCCCACCCCCAAAAGTCACTCCCGTCACAGACCATAAGGGTCATGTTTGAGTAAATAGATACTGTGTGTAAGGGCTAGTTCACACCAAAGAAATGCAGTCGAGGTGTTCCGGATCGTTTCTGCATGTGCGTTTTTGATGCGTTTTTGACGTGTTCCAGGGAGTTTTTGATGCTTTCTGGTTAATTTTTTCTCTCTCTTTTTCTTCACTTAAAATAGGGACATGTGCAATCCAGTGCATTTTTGGTGCATTTTGGTGCTTTTTTAAGTGTTTTACTGAATTACAGTATAGTTATGTGCAGGAAAAATGCAGCCTGTTCTACTTTTTTTTTTCTGCAACTGGAACGCACTGGAACTGCAAGCACTGATGTGAACTATGACATTGACAACCATATAGCCTACTTTCTATGCATTTTGGATGAAGGAAAAAAGCAACTGAAACACATGTAGTGTGAACTGGCCCTAAAAATAAAAATGTTACATAAACAGGTGATCCCATATTATTAAAATGTGTATTCAAAAATTATAGAAGGTAATACTAATGATACCTATGCCATTTGGTAAAATGAAAATAATATAGAGCAAGAGAAAATAAATAAGGAATAAAAAAATAATTGGAATTGTAGGAGGATAGTCAGCTACCAGAGATATTAGGAAATGGATGTAACTATGTATAAGCTAAAGCTCTAGAGGTACCAAGTATAATATTAGAATGTAATAGTACATACATCTCTTGCTCTATATTATTTTCATTTTTCCAAATGGCATAGGTAGCATTATTATTACCCTCTAGAATGTTTGTATACACATTTTCAAAAATATGGGATCACCTGTTTATGTATTAACATTTTTATTTTTACATATCTATTTATTTATTTATACAGGGCCCTGTGCATTGTAACATACATGCCTAATTTACAGTATCTCACAGAAGTGAGTTCACCTCTCACATTTTGGAAGGTGGAGGAGTGCAAGGTCTATAACATCCACCAGCTCCGTAATGTCCTCATGGAGCAGTAGAAGAGGACTCCAGTGGCAATCTGTGAAGCTCTGGTGAACTCCATGCCTAAGAGGGTTAAGGCAGTGCTGGAAAATAATGGTGGCCACACAAGTTGACACTTTGGACCCAATTTGGACATTTTCACTTAGGGGTGTACTCAATTTTGTTGCCAGTGGTTTAGACTTTAATGGCTGTGTATTGAGTTATTTTGAGGGGACAGCAAATTTACACTGTTATACCAGCTGTACACTCACTACTTTACATTGTAGCAAAGTGTCATTTCTTCAGTGTTGTCACATGAAAAGATATAACAAAATATTTACAAAAATGTAAGATAATGTACTTAATGTTCCCTTATTCTCCTCCTTATATGTTTATTTTTTTTAATTTTTTTATTTATTTTAATTTAAAGTGTTACAAAACCCAGAACCCTGCATTCACTATATCTGGTCTCCATCAGTACACAGAACATGGAAATATTATTATTTTTAGTAAATATAAACTGCTATATACCTTTTCTTATCAGCAGTTTGAGCAGTCCGGGGACTTCTATCAGTGCCCAGCAGAGCACTTGTTAAAGCTTGAAGGAGGAGTTTTCTCTAGAAGGATGCAGAACCCCTGACCTCTGTCTGGACAGAGCTGATTGGTCATGTGCTGATCACATGCACTCTCCCAAGAAAAAAAACCTCTCTAGTAATACACACTAAACTGAGCATGTGCAGTGTCTCCACACGATATGTCTTATCAGGAGATAATAGGGGGACACTGGGAGAAGGGGAGGATCAGAGAAGTCAGGATCAAACAGTCTTTTTACACAATGCTGAGGATTAACCCCTTAGGTTGCACAGTGAGTATAACAAGCATGCTTTACTGCATATAAAGACTGGTTTTACTTGTGTGGGTTAAGTAACACTTTAAGAGTGCTTAGTTTAAGAGAGGGAGGCTTGAAATGTATTTTGTACTAACCTAGGATGATACTTGGGCCTTTCCATGAGTTGGCTGGGCACTACAGTCCGCCACTATCAATTGCCAATATATGTCCCCTCTATGGCCTGATGAACCAGCACATGCTCTGAGCGCATGTCACGCCTATTACTGCTGTACCTGGAGCTGACATCCCCTCTGTTCTTTGGATCCACGTTGACCAGGAAGTACTGGGAGCCACCAGCACAGCCATGGACAGTGCATTTCCGGCAGAGGGACTGGAGCGGAGTTGCACAGTGGTTGACACCAGTTTGACAAGCGCTCAGATGATGCCGCTTCTCTTCTTTTTACAGATGAGCTTTAACCTGCTTAGTATGAACAGCTGAACATTGGTTTCCATCAGTCACTACTACACAGCACC